AAAATTTTACAGCCTGCCGCTCTATGTTGCTCTGCAAAAAAGTAGAAATGTTTGAAAGCGTACAAGCAAAATAAATTAAAAGCAGACAACTCCTCTGCTTCTTGAGGTTTGATCTTCAACTATTGGTAAATTCTTGGGAGCTCTATGGGGTTGTTAAGTTGGGTCGGCTTAAAGGAAGAGGTTGAATTCACCATAATAGATGAAACTGGGAATCTGGGATAGGGGCAATATCGTCCAATAGGGGGAAAGCCAACAAACTTTTGTGTAGAGTAACCTAAAACCAATCGGAACATATTACCATTACCACACATGTCAGACAAAAAATATACAAGCTAATCAACAGGTTTTTCCAAAATATACAAAATAAACCAGGGGATAGTACAAATCAAACCCCTCTAGTGAAAAAATTATCAAACAAAAGAGGCAAGATTAGTCAATTCTTGAACTAGATTTCTTAGTTTTTCAAAATCGAAGCCATGCAAAAAAAAAAAAAAATTAGGGCTCAAAAAATAGAAAATCAAGGGGAAGCCTCCAACATCTATGTACGTCAACATCTCCCATCATCATGTTCAACAAAATTAAAGTTCATCTTAGTGATCGAGAATGGAAAAAACCAAGAGAATGAGTGAATAGGAACAGAGCATTCAAATGTTACCTTTTTCATAAAATGGCTCATCTAAAAAGAGATTTATTCTGTTGTAAAATCTTATTGCTCCTGCAAAATAAGAACAAAAAATGAATAATGATAAGTTTGTAGATCTCTCTTTCCTTTGTTCTTTACACATATCTGAAATGAGGTTTTGTCAGACTCTTACATTCCAAAACCTGCAAACTATCTTGTGGATATAAGTTTTGGCATTAAAATCTTCTTTGTGTTTACATAGAACCCATCATTGAAGAATCAGCATAACCATTTTCCACACATGTCAACCATTGAACCCAAAGACGAGATCATCACCAAGGTTTATAAGAAAATGGTACCGAGATATAAGATTGTATATCTGGAACCACTACAGGGTCTAGGTGATATCACAAGCTTCAAAAAGGAGGACATTCTCTCTCCAACATATTTGTAACGATCGCACGACATTGTTAATTTTTGATGAGGTAATTAGTCCTAATAAAAAAATATGAAAAAATGTTTGGTTAGTTTTTGGAAAGAAATGTGTCATTCATACCCATTAAAACATGAATTTTGATTAATTCATGTACCCCTATTTTTTTACCGATAATTACAATTATAGAGTCATCTTTTTTACCGATAATTAAAATTGCAGTCATTGTGGGCACATCAAGCTCCGGAGGTAACCCCAGATGCAATGGTATGTGGGTTTGAAGAAGAGATGGAATAGGGCCGTACTGGCCAACAAAAACGTGCACAAAATATCGTGTTATGGAGAGAGACGAATACTTTCAACAGTATTGCCTCGAAACTATATATTTTCTGAACAAACTCATCTATTGTGGGTATAGGTCAGACATACATAAATGAGGATAATATTTTGGGCATATATTTGTTAGGAAACTGGCAAATACAGCCAAGTTGAAAAAATCAGAGTTTTTGGCCTGTTTGCAGTAATTAAGTTGGTTGTGCTTGAAACCAGAAAACTAGCACATGCATGTTATAAAATACACCTTGTTATTGATGTTGTTAACAAAAACGTTATCCGCATCATCCCATATGCCGATGCCACTGAACTCTAGCTTGAAAGCGGTGTTCGGATTATAGAGAAATGCATACAGCAGGAGCTTGGAGGCTATAGATACTTGGATTATATGTTTTTTAAGTTATATGTTGAATGATAGTTTTGAATGATTGAAAATTTGGTACGGGAATGTGAGTTTCCTTTTGTGTTTATTACTAGTACTAACTGTAAACAATGGTATATTATTGTTTTGTCTATGATGAGTTTCAATCGAATTTCATTTCTTTCCTGCCAACCAAACACGCCCTATAGATCTCAAAACACGAGTACAATTATAGATTACAACGGGGTAATTCATCATAGACAGAATACACAATAGTTTGCAATTAATACTAATGACAAACACAAAAGGAAACCCACATCCCATACCAAATTTCTCATAATTCAAAACCATCTTTCAGCATATAACTTAAAAACACCTATAATCCAAGTCTCTATAGCCTCCAAGCTTCTACTGTATGCATTTCTCTATAATATGAACAACACTGTCAAGCTCGAGCTCAGTGGCATCGACACGTGAGATGATGTGGATAACGTTCTTGTTAACCACATCTAAGGTTGTAAAAGTCGTTTGACGGGAGCTCGACGGTCGACTGGTGTTAAGGGATTAATCGGTCTTGGCGGGGATTAACCGAGGATTAATCGGGGACCATAAATTATTAATAAAATATTAAAATTAATTAAATATTAATATATCTTAAGAAAAACAAGTACTTCAAAATTAGAAAATAAGAAAAATTGTAATTTGGAAATACGAAAATATGAACATTTTGGTATAATATTTGAAATTTTGAAAATTTGAAAATTTTGGAGTAAAAAAAAGAAAGTTGGTTTTTTAAAATTTTAAATTTTTTTTTGACCTTTTTTGACTTTTTTTCGATTTTTTTGAATTTTTCGACTTTTTTGACTTTTGTTGACCGATTAATCCCGCCAAGGCCGATTAATCCCGCCAAACCCGATTAATCATAAATTTCCGATGAATGCCCTAATCCTCGACGGTTGGAGAACGTCAAGCGATTAATCGCCGATTAATCCAGATTTCTGCAACAATGACCACATCAATAACAAGGTGTTTTTTTTAACATTTACGTGTTAGTTTTTTGGTTTCAAGCACAATAACTCAATTACGGAAAAAATGCCAAAAACTTTATATTTTCTCAAATTGGTTGTATTTGCCAAAGTTTTTTAACAAGTATACGCCTAAGATAAGATCCTTGTTTATGCATGTCCGTCATATACCCACCATAATAAGTTTGTCCAAAAAATATGTGGTTTCGAGGCAATAGTGTAGAAAGTATTCGTCTCTCTCCATACCGGTCAATACTTTGTTCACATTTTTGTTGACCAGAAAATATGTGGTTTCGAGGCAATACTTAGGAAAGTATTCGTCTCTCTCTCCATACCACTCAATATTTTGTGCACATTTTTGCTGACCAGTAAGGCCCTTATTCCCATCTCTTCTCCAAACCTACATACCACTACATTTGGGGTTACCTCCAGAGCTTGATGTGCCCATAAGTGGTCGGTTTTCCCCAACCCATAATGTCTCTACAATTTCAATTATCGGTGAAAAAGATGACTCTACAATTGTAATTATCTGTAAAAAAAATAATAATAAGGTTACATGAATAAATCAAAATCATGTTTTTTAATAGGTATGAATGACACATTTCTTTCCAAAAACTAACCAAACATGTTTTCATACTTTTGATTACTCAATAGTTATTAAGATTTTATGACAAAAAGTCTCATTATTTTGGGAAAATTTTTGATAAAGTCTTAAAAGTTTTTTTTAACAGAAAAGTCTTATTATTGTGAGAAAATCATATAATCTGTCATTTCTTATTTAAATATAAAAAATGATTTTTTTCATTAATTTGCGCAAAATGTTAAACAGTCAGGACTTTTCTGTTTAAAAAAAAAACTTTTAGGACTTTATTAAAAATTTTCCCAAAATAATAAGACTTTTCTGCATAAAACTCATAGTTATTACCATGTTAAAACACAAAATTAAGCCTTTACTTTAGCGTTACTTCAATAGAATTCAATTGTAAATTAAAAGAACTACATAACTAATTTATTTACTAAACGTCAAAATTACCCGATGTCTTTGATTATTTTTAAATTTTAAAATAGAAAATTAAAAGAAGTTGGTATATAACATTACCAATTTGTAACAATCAAACTTGTTGGTAGTCAAATATATTGGCACCAAGTATACTCGGTACGGGTAGCAAATTTTTTATACCAACTATAGTTGGTACAGTACACGGTTTTTGGAAAAAAGAATCGATATTGTACCAATTCCATGCCTACCAATTCTAACAATAAAGGGAACCGCCCTCTTCCATGTCATAAACTCAGAGCCGTCCAAACACATTTGAGGTCTGGGGCAAAAATAAAAGAGGTCCCATAAATTTACATTCTATTTTATACCAATTTCATAAAATACACTACAAAAAGTAATGTTATTATATTAAAAAAAATATCTATATATAAATACAATTGGTTTAAATTTGGTTTTGTTAAAAGAAAGGAAAAAAGTTGTCATTTTTAGGAAACAAAAGATATTAACCACCCACACCAAAAAAAAGCCACACCAAAAAAAAGAATTAATTTCATATATGCTCTTATTAAACAACAAAATATCGTATTTACCCTTCCTAACCTTTTAAAATATCATATTTGTCCAAACCATTTTTTAAACATATTTTAACAATTTATAATTAATTGTTATGTCTAAAATCATTATAATTTAAAAAGAAAAAATAAATTTACCATATTACCCCTAAATATTAAAACCATTCTATCTCTTTAACCTTCTACGGTTTAGAAGTGTACGTATTGTGTGATGGTTACTGTCGATCGATCTTTGAAGAGCTAATTTGTTTCTAGTCATCTTTGTATATAATCTTGTCTAGGTGCTAAATATATGTAGGACTCATACGTGGTATACCATCTTGTATTAGCACTATATTGAAATCTATATCATGTGATAAAACATTAATTATTTGTCATATCCCTAAATTCTTTTGTTATTATAGACTATAATTCTAGAAATTGATGGGTATCTTGGATAACTTTTATCGTAAAGTCAAGTAGACACAAGAAACATTGCATCTGAACCATTATCAAAACCTCTCCAAATGGAACATGTTTCCAATCAAGGCTCATCGATTAGTATAGGCCCACTGAAGCCATAATTACATTCAAAGTGGAAAGATACAACATGTATCATTTTCTAGTAATCTCTAATCTCTTTATTTATCAATTCCAAACAAACGTGTAGTTCATATGGATGCTTATGAATCCACCTCGTGTGTCACCGCATTCGCTATTAACAGTAAATAAATCCAGGTAGAATCCAAGCCCAGGGTTGTTAATAGCGATCGCTACCCTCGCTATAGCGAATAGCGTAGCGTAGCTTTGCTGGGTCGCTACATGCCTGTAGCGATGAAATAGCGCGATGAAATAGCGCCTGTAGCGATCGATCAGGGCAAAATTGATTTTTTTTTTGTTTAAATCGTTAAGATACATAGCAATTAGGGTCGGAATTGGTTTAGGCGGGGAATAGTAGAGTCAATTTCGTGTCTTCCGGTCTAATCGACCTAAGATTGTACGATGGCGCCAAAATCACCAATATCGATTTTGGCGGGTTATTTCCCACTTCAGCGACAGTAGCGACAACAACTCATCTCCCCTTCTCCCCAGACGACTCCAACTACTCCAGAATCCATCTCGACTGTTCAACTTCAAAAAGGTAAGACTTTTAAATTCATCTGTTTTTTTTTCTAACTTCTCGGTTTCAGGCTTTAACTGATTTCTTCCAATTTCAGCTTTTAACTTCTATCTTCTGATCAATTCTGCAAGACTTCAACTTCAAAAAGGTAAGACTTCAACTTCTATCTTCTGATCAATTTAAGCTTTTAACTTCTATCTTCTAAAGTATGAGATTCTTTGAATTCTATTGTATGATCTTTGATTATGTGATTCTTATGATATTCGCTTCTTTCCATCTTCTGATCAATTCAGGCATGCCTTCTAGTGTAAAAGAGGATGATATTGGCTGGAAACATGGCAAAAAAGTTGAAGGAACTATATAAATTGGGTGTTGTGTAATTACTGTCCAAATGTTGCTGTTGCTAAAGGTGGGATTACAAGACATAAACATCACCTTGCTGGTGATTCCACTTCAGTTTGCCAATGTCTTAGAGCTCCACCAGATGTTAGGAAACTTTTTAAAGACATTTTTGAGAAACAGAAACAAGATAAAGTTGAAAGGAATCGCATTCCTCACTTTGATGATGATGTGGTGGATATAAATGATGAAGATGAAAAAGAAGCTGGTGAGGTTCCTTTCTCATTAGGCAAGAGGGCTATTTCGTCCTCCAAGTCAACCCTACACAACAAGAAAGTAAAAGGCGCTTTGGATACTCATTTCAGGCCATCCACTGAAACAGGGAAGAAGAAGGGGTACTTGGTGGGAACCCCCGAACATAACCAACTTCACAAAAAACTAAGAGGTGACGCGGTTCAGAAATTTGCCCGTTGGATGTATGATGCAGGTCTTGCATTCAACATGGTGAAGTATGATAGTTTAGGGTCTGCAGTTGAAGCCATTGCTATACATGGTCCCGGTATGAAACCCCCTAGCTACCATGAGGTACGTGTTCCTCTGTTGAAGCTAGAGAAGGAGCACACAAAGAAGCTTTTGATACTTAATGAGACCGAGAAGAAGGCAATCGGGTGCTCTTTGATGGCTGATGGTTGGAGGGACCGGAAAGGAAGAGCACTTATCAACTTCTTAGTGAATACTCCACGAGGAAGCATGTTTCTAGAATCTATAGATGCATCTTCTTATTCTCATACAGGTATTCATTGTTTTTGTTTTTTACTTATGTTTATGTTCTATGTTGTTTATGTTATGTACTTTACTTATGTTTATGTTCTATGTTGTTTATGTTATGTACTTTACTTATGTTTATATTCATTGTTCTATTTTGTTCTATGTTTTTTACTTATGTTTATGTTCTATTTTGTTGCTGTTTGAACAGGAGAGAATTTATTTAAGTTGTTTGACTACTTCATCAAAGAAACTGGACCCAATCATGTGGTTCAAATTGTAACAGATAGTGCTGCCAACAATGTTTTGGCGGGGAAAATGGTGGAAGCAAAATATCCACACATCTATTGGACTCCGTGTGCTGCGCATTGCATTGATCTCATGCTTGAAGACATCTTCAAAGTGACTCATCTTAAGAAGACACTAGACAAAGCAATTGCGGTTAACACTTACATTTACAACCGTACATTGCTCTTGAATATGTTGAGAGACTTTACGGGTCAAAGAGATATGATTAGGCCCGCAAAGACCCGGTTTGCAACCGCCCTCTTAACTCTAAATTGATTTAGGAGTCATAAGACAAGTTTGAAGAAGTTGTTCACGTCTGAAGCTTGGAACAAAAGCAGGTTCAAAGGGGAGGAGGGAGGAACTCAATGTGTCGCAACAATTTTTTCACCTAGTTTTTGGATTAACATTGATATTGCTGTCAAAGTTGGTGAACCATTACTAACGGTGCTTCGACTGGTAGATAGTGAAAGAAAGCCGACTATGGGGTACATTTATGAAGCCATGGATAGGGCAAAGGAGCAGATTGCATACTCATTCAACAACAAAATTAACAAATACAAAGCTTTCTTCAAAATCATTGATGACAGGTGGAATTGTCAACTTCACCAAGATTTGCATGCGGCTGGTCACTATCTGAATCCAAGTATTTTTTACAACATCCCAGGAGTGAAAGAAGATAGTGAGGTGATTAAGGGCTTGATGGCATGCATACATAAGATGTCATCAGAAGAAGACGAGACCAAGATTCACCAAGAGCTTTCTATATATACCGGTGCAGAAGAGTTATTTGCGCAACATATGGCTGTTAAATTAAGAACAACACTTGCACCAGCGAAATGGTGGATGCAATATGGATCATCAGCACCAACACTTAAGAAGTTTGTTGTGAAGGTGTTGAGTCTTACTTGTAGTTCATCAGGGTGTGAGCGTAACTGGAGTGTTTTTGAACATGTAAGTTGTTCATTTTTTTAAGATTAATATCCTTTGCACTATTTACTAATGGTTTAATTTTATTTTTGTAGATCCATTCGAAAAAAAGAAACCGTCTTGAACGACAAAAACTAAATGATTTAGTTTACATCAAATATAATCGAGCATTAAGGAGGAGGTATGATATGCGGGATATGATCGACCCGATCAACTTGGAAGACTCGCACATACATGACCCGTTTGAGTGGTTGGCGAGTGATGATGGTCTCATGTTTGAGGGTGATGACTTGAGATGGGATGTTGTGGCAGAGGCTATGGGGGTGGATGAGTCGGTTCATCTAACTAGAAGAACAACAACACCAGGTGGGAGGCAAGGGGGGATGCAAGGGGCTGTTGGGGTTGCTAAGTCAAGCTCACAAGGTAGAGCTAGAGCTAGACAACCCCATTTGATAGATGAACCTGAAGAGGAAAATGATGTTGGGGTTTATAAGGAGTTTGTTGAAATAGATGGGGAGGATGAACTCGTATTTGAGGAGGATCAGGATAACGATTAGTCGATTAGTGGTATTTTAGAGTTTAGACTTTTAGAGTCATAACACTCTTTTGTGGTATTAGAACTTAATTTTAGACTTTAGAGTCTAAAACTAACCAATCTTTTGTGGTAAAAATCTTTTAGAACTTAATGTTAACTTAATAGAACTGGTACTTTTAGTTATATGTGTTATTTTTAATTGCTGAATAGGTGCAGGTAAATATAGTGTTTAATTTTATATAAAATCACAAAACATGAAATAGTTGTCGCTATTCCATCGCTATCGCTACGTAGCATATAGGTGGGTTGTTGCTATTTCCTCGCTATCGCTATCGATAACCTTGTCCAAGCCTAATGGTTGATCAATTTTACGCTAAGGGGTTTAATATACAAGGGTAATATGGTCAGTTTATTTTTTCTATTTAAACTATAATGATTCTTAAATATAATAATCAATTATAAATTGTTAAAAAGTACTTGATTTTTTTGGGCAAATACGATATTTTAAAAGTTAGAAAAGGTATATATGATATTTAGATTTTTAGTTGGGTAAATATGATATTTTGTTATTTAATAAGGGCATATATGAAAATCACCCAAAAAAAATTATTAGCCTTTTTGAAATTAATTTATTTGAAAACTAAAACGAAACTAAAATATAAGTAAAAAGGGTGAACAAACTCATAAATAGGGGTGTTCATAAATAACCGAATCCGAAAATCCGATCCGAGATTCCGATACGAAATTATCTGATATTTCGGATATCCGAAATTAATTTATTTTGAACACCCCTGCTCATAAATACAAAAATCGTACATGCCAGAACTTGAGTCCCCGAACACTTGTAGCGGGCCTCGGCCGTAGGCCGTAGCCCAACTTACCCTATCCATTGGGTCGGTCCTGCATAAACTCATAAATGAAGAAAGAAGGAAGACAAAAAATATGGTCTAGGATTTAGCAAAATAAGCTTGTCGAGCGTACCTTTCTCCTAGATTTGCTGGTAAATATAAGTAAACAGCTATAGTCATGCTTACAGACATTCCTTTTATAATTCAGTTCTTATTAAAGATAAATGTTTCTTTTAGTTTGCTTCATGTAAGCCGATTTGTATTTAATTGTTTTGAGTTTGACGAGATATTTGTTACTAATGCAGAAGAAGGAAGAAGATAGAGTTGTTACACGAAAACAAATAACCAAAAAAAATCTGAGATATTGTTTTAGTGTTATAGTGTTATATTATTCAACAACACTATATTTAGTGTTACACATAGTGTGGGTTGGAGCAATTTAGTGTAAGTATAGTGCCAAAGTTGTGTTTTAGTGTAGGGTTGAAAATGCTCTTAAGGAATATGTGCTCACCATTAACACAACTGGAATTGGAACAAACAAAATGATGAATAAAATGGGTTCAAAAGTTCACCGGGTGAAAAAAAAATTTCTCACTAATAATATTGAACAAACCACCATTGTTTGTTCTTGGTTATTGATGTTTTCGAGTTCCAACATGTTTGATTTGTCTCTTCCATTTTCATTTTTGATTATTTACTCAATTAATTTGTTTTTTTCTGTTTGTTTCTATCAGGGCATGTTTGATTTGGAGCTGAAATATTAATTCCATTGACTCAGAAGTTTTCAAAACGAAGTCGCATTTCAAAACAAAGTTACATGCAAGGAAATTTTAATACTCCAACTAATCTTCAGGTTTTAGTAAATCCTAATTCTTTTTCACAATGATAAAACATAAGAAAAAATAACGACATTACTCTCTCTATATACTATATCTCATATTTTGTTATTTTGTCACGCTATCTATTCTGTTAACTTTATAGCTTACTGTTAGAGGGATTTTTAATGGATTCTTCATATTCTATTATTTTTTTGTGTATGTGGACAGATTGGAGTTATGAGATGGGAATGCATGTGCTCTTTTTAATGGATTCTTCATATTCTATTATTACTATGATAATTAGAGAAAACATAGATCCAAAGCTTTTAGGGTTGTATGTGCACCATAAGGTGTTGTAGTATACTAAATCCCAACACATATAACATCTTGTCTACCGGGATACTAATCTAACGGATCATACAATACTCGAGGATATAACATATCAGGATAGCAATCCAAAAGGGTCGGTCTTGGTGCCTTAGACCCTTGAGTATAGTGAGAAAAACTCACCTCACACTGCTGAAGTCTCGCGGATGAAACTCCAGTTGCTAGTTGACAGATTCCAGAGCTGTCAACATCAAAACAACACCCAATTAATAATTAGGTTCCAAGCCCAAGATCCAACTCACCCTCCAAAGGCCCAATAGTCAACCAATGGACCAAAGCCCAACATATGGCCCATTTTTCCAAATTGGGCCCAGACCTCTACATGGTCTTACCCTAAGCCCAACCATTTTTCCAGTCCAAACATTTGGCATTTCAATTGGTCCAACCTCTCATAATCCTCAAGGCCCAGTTATGGCCCATCTATGGCCCAATTTTACAAATTGGGCCCAAACCCTCACATGGGCCTTACCCTAAAGTCCATCCAAATATTTTAGTCCATTTACTTGTTCTTGGATACCCATCAGTAGCTAAATCACTAAAGCCCAATAGAAATGCCCAACTCAAGGCCTAAGTGAAATTAGGGTTTTCACCTGAAATGACGATTAGGGTTAAGTGTTCCTACTTAACCCATTAAGGACTTAATCCATTAAGTCCAATATTGCCTTAGGTTAATTGCAAATGATTATTAATTAACATTTTCAGTCTAATAAATAATTCCAGTGCGGGTCCCGATCAAATTCCCAAAATTAGCTATAAGTATACTATTTGTGTACTCATTTTGTGGTTACTAAATGACTTGGTTTATGCATTAACCAGGAAAAAAGGTACAACTATGCTACTGAAATTATCAATTTAACACATTTTTGAGAGGATGTAACAAAAAGTCATATTAAATGACCTAGATGTGTGTTTTGGGTTTCTAAGATTAAGAAGCTTTTAATTTTTGAGATTTCAGGTAGGTTTACTTCCATCTAAATCAAAATAAAAAATGAGCTTTGGTTTCTGAGATTAGAATTATTTGAATTTTTAAGGTCAAAACTCAAAAATAGAGAGATTAATACTATTTTTTCACCCACTCTAAACATCTTAACTAAAGAGATTTTCACCCACACTACGGTGAAATCAATATGATTAGGATAAAGAAATAAAAATTATATGAAGACTTACCAATTAGTCACCCTGGAGGTTGAAACCTGAAAGTGAGGGGGAGAAATGATATTTAGGGTTTTAAAGAGATTCACAAATGAACAAACAAACAAGATCAGTCTACAAATATCATAGTAATGTTGTGTTTTGGTGTGACAGGGAACCAAAATCAGAATACATTCATGGGTATCAACTTCATGGAAAGCTGAAATTGCATTCTAATTGAATAACTAATAAGAACAACAACGCGGGAAAAAAAGAATGATACAGATCACATTCACGGTACCAATTCCAAGCAACCACAACACCAATTCACAGACTTATAGAATGCAGGAAGAATGCAGGAACAAAGAACAGATTTATACAGTTGAAGAACATAATCATATGGCAAATTGAAGAAAGAAGAATCGAGAAGAAAAAATCCCCGTTGGGGTCGAAGCTCGATACAGCAGAACAAAGAAAAGGATGAACGAAAGCAAAAAAGAACCTGCGGGTCGAAGGCCCAAGCTCGCCGGTAGTTGTGGTGTGGGCGCTGGAATCAGTGGCTTCACAGGAGAGAGGGGTTTGGAGAGAATCACAGGCGAGGCCGCATCGTTGTTTCTTTCATCCAGAGTCGTCCGATTTGCTTATTAGGGTAAGGGGCATAATGGTCAATTTTTTAAAAGGGTGAAATAATAAATTTTTGATAAGTAAAGGCAGCCAACTTATCAAAATTAGTTTATTAGAGGTTAGCTATAAGTTATTTTTTAGAACAGAAAATTTATTCTACTCTTGAACTACTCCTAATTCTACCTGATGTCTTCAATGAGACTTGAACTCTCAACCACTAGAAGGGAAAGCAACATCCGATACCGCTAGGTTAGAAGCTTTTTGGTCCAAATAGCTATAACTTAGAAAATGTTTATCCAAACGTTTTTTTAACTTACATTGATGTAGAGCTAGTAATAAGTTAAAAAAAAACTATTTTTTAAGCTTTGTCAAACACTCTCCAAGAATGATAATATGAAAAACTCAACACAACACACTAATTTACAACATGAACAGTTCTATTTCATTACTGACTCAATGACCGGCATACTAACCAGCAACTAAATACAATCAGCCCCTTTGATTTTATCAAGTTAACTCCTGCATCCTTCAAGAATAAACAATAACAGCAAAACATAAATATATACATTAACTTATACAAAAATAGTTAGTTTGAACATAATAAATTAATAATTATACATTTTAACACAATGCACATTGCACAAAGTAATAGCTTTTTTTAAATCACTTTGTAGAAAAATGATCAAAAAGGCCCATTTTATTACATAGAAAAGCATGATGTGCAGTAACTAAAGACTTGGTTAAAATATCAATTGTTTGATTATGAGAATCAATTTTAATTAACTTCAGTCCCGGCCCAATATATAGAGCAGGGCATCAGTCTAGTCCAACAAATGATTTTGGCCCAAAAATTGTATCCCTCGTATTACTATACAATCCAGCAGACCTCAACCCAAGATGCAACCCAAAATAAGGATCCAACAACCTAATCAAGGGCAAAGCGAATTACCAAAAAGCCCCTGCCTCACGGACTAAAACGTGAAGAATTACCCAGTCAATTAGTTAGCTAAGAAGTCTTCCACTTCCTAGAAGTCAGCTGCAATTCCTTTAATTTAGCTTCCATTTCATTAGTCAATATCATGTTTTCCATAATTCCTAGTTTTTAGCTGCATTTTTTTTTATTTCTTTAATATTTAAAGATTGCAATGGTTTTCAAGGAATATCAGAAAACCTGCTCTAGATTGTCTTCTTTTTCTCAGAATCTTGGGAGACTG